GCTGGTGCGCGGCGTACCTGACTGCGTATGGCCACAGGAAATGGGGGGCACGGGCGTGAGTCAAGGAGGTGCGGGCAATCTCCATGACCAGGCCTATGCGACGCTCAGCAACCCCATTCTGCTGTGGGGACTCCGGAAGCGTCCAGGACTGACGAATGCCCTGTTCGCGACAGAATCCAGCGAGAATGCCGGAGCGAAACTCGCCCCCGCGGTCGGAGTGGAGACAGCTGACACGACGACCACGAGTGTCCTGGGTGGTAAGCAACCACCTGATCAGCGTAGAAGTCACCTCAGACTTCCTCGCCAGGGGGAACACTGTGGTGTAGCGGGAGTAGTCGTCAACGACCACAAAAAAGAAACGCTCACGCTCAGGGCCAGGGCGAGGAGAGGGGCCCCAGACGTCCAAGTGCAGTGTCTCAAAAGGCTCGGTGGCCGGACGAAGGGAGGAGGAGTGAGGGGTGGCACGCAGCCTACCCTCGACGCAAGGACCGCACGGTGGTGCAAGGGACGGCGGCAGCGACGGCAAGACACGCGGGAGACCTAAGACAAGACGCTGACTAGACATAGCACGCAGACGTGGAAGAGAAGGGTGTCCCAGCCGGTGGTGCCACAGAACGGTGGGGTGGGCAAGCGACCGACAGGAGCAAGACGCAGCGACTGGACTAGACGCGACAACCTGAGAGGACGGAACCACCTGGTGAGACGCAGGGAGGAGACTAGGGGGAGGGACAGGAACTGGGAGGAGGGGCTGCTGTGACGGCGGCCGCTGTGGCTGCGGCTGCTGCTGCTGCCGCTGCTGCTGCTGCGGCTGCTGCTGCTGCTGCTGCTGCTGCGCGGCTGCTGCTGCTGCTGCAGTCGCTGCTGAGCGCGCGGGCCAGTGTGAAGAGTGTAGAGACCGGAGCCCGGCTCAGCAGCAAAAGTGGCGAGGGGCTGGTAAGAGTCCCCGTCAACACACACCGCAGTCTCTCCAGAAGGCTCAAACCACACACCCACGTGCTGACTCACGAGGGGTCGCACGCCCACCAAGTTCCGGGAGAACGAGGGGACGTGAAACCCAGTGAGAGACCCAGAAAAAGCAGCCGGACACGGCAAGGTGGTAGTGTGACGCGCGGTGACTGGTCCCGAAGTGGGATCAGCCAGCGCCACAGAAACAGGCGCAGGAAGAGGCGTAAGTGTCGTGCTGTCACGAAAGAAGCAGTGAGAGGCTCCAGAGTCCAGCGTGAACGACAGCGAACCGTCCTCTGAGGTAGCCGCTGGACTAGAGTCTACACAAGAACCTACACTAGCAACAGGCAACTGAGCAAGGCTAGCACCTAAGCTAACAACACCAGAGTAAGCAGAGTCAGAAACACTAGAGTCAACAACAGCATACATAGCATGAGGAGCACCAATCAGATCAACTAACTGCTCAGCAGACATGCCCCACAGAGCGGAGCCGTAGCGCTGAACCAGAGGAAGCCAGTCAAGGGCAGGACCGCCAACCCCGTAGGCCAACCGGACCGTGTCAGTGAGCTGAGCAAAGCACTGACCAGGGGGGTGAAAGCGGCCACAAGGGTGGCCCCGACGAGGACCTGTCAGAACCTGATAGGTGCAGGGAGGGTAAGCAGCACCACGCTGGGGCTGACGCAGCCCCGACCCCGGAGCCAGCTGCTGACGCTGCTGCTGCTGAGGCTGCTGGGAGGAGAGGGGCTGCTGCTGCTGCTGAAGCCGCTGCTGACGCTGAGCCTGGTACCACGCCGCTGCTCCACCTAGCGGGGCCGGCAGTACAGGAGACGACTGACGAGCTCGGGCGTCGCCACCACCAGCAGGCGCAGTGGAGTCACCAGCCGCTGCACGAGAGGTCTCTCCAGACGCTGCACTCCCACCACCGCCAGTCGCAACAGCACCCCCACTACCTCCGCTACCTCCGCCTCCACCTCCACCAGAACCACCTTTCTTGCCCCCCTTGCCGCGGGACCGCGACGCAGTCGTAGCAGCAGCTGCAGTCGCGTCAGTAGCGGCAGTGGCAAGAGAGGCAGTGAAGGTGGGTAACTGCGGGACTGTGCACCCGTGGAAGAGTGGGGGGGGCACAGCACCAGAGGCGGCAGCTACCGAGCGAAGGTTGCTCTCGACGTCCTTGAGCGCAGACTCAAGGACCTCAATTGTCAGCTCACTAGGGTGCTTCAGCAGGAGCGCGTCACGTACGGAGGCAAGGCGGTCAGGGAGGCTAGTGGCGATAAAATAGATAGTAATCGCCATGGGGGGAGGAAGCAGTGCAAGCTGTGCCTCAGTGCAAGCAGCGCGGTAACTAGCGTCGAGCGAGCGGAGGTGAGCGATCAAGTCAGCAGAGCGCTCAAACGAGGCGAGATCAGGAAACAGGAACGGGAGGAAAAGACGGCCAAGAGAGACAGTAGCGGGAGTAGAGTAGCGGGCCTTAATCGCAGTGAGGTACGCAGCAGCGGTGCGAACCTGAGTGAAGTGGACCTCCTCTGACTCAGGGAGGAGGCTGCTGAGTGCGATGCAGGCCGCAGCGTCACGTGACGTCCAAGCCGTCCTGTCAGCGCGCTGACGGGCAAAGCGAGCCGTAGCAGCATCGTCAGGGGCAGGACCTAAAGCGGCAGGCTCGGGGGGCTCGGGGAGGTCACCAGTAGCGTGCGACCAGAGGGTCTCGCCCCCCTGGACTTGACTCTCTAACAGACGGCGAGCACGAAGAAGCCAGACGGAAAAGTCAAGAGGTCTACCGTCAGCGTCGAAACGAAGAACTCGCGGAGTCGCCATAGCGAAAACTAACGCGAACGAGCAGGCGAGTAACAGCAGGAGGTAAGAGGCAAATTAGGGTGCAGGTGGGACTTAGTCGCAGCGGAAGAGCGGGCTAGAGCGACGGGCCAGGGCGTAGGGTCGACGGGACGGGGGAAAGGGCGGGCACGATGCGACGGGGCAGGGCGACGCGACGGGGGAGGGCGACGGGACGGGGAAGGGCGACGCGACGGGGCAGGGCGACGGGACGGGGAAGGGCGACGCGACGGGGCAGGGCGACGGGACGGGGCGACGGGACGGGGCAGGGGCAGGGCGACGGGACGGGACGGGGACGGGACGGGGCAGGGGCGACGGGACGGGACGGGGACGGGACGGGGCAGGGGCGACGGGACGGGACGGGGCGACGGGACGGGACGGGGCAGGGCGACGGGACGGGGCAGGGCGACGTGACGGGGGGAAAGGGCGCGACGCGACGGTGGGAAAGGGCGCGACGCGACGGGGGGAAAGAGCGCGACGCGACGGGGGGAAAGGGCGCGACTCGACGGGGGGGAACGGGCGCGACGCAACGGGGGGAAAGGGCGCGACGTGACGGGGGGGGAAAGGGCGGTAGGCGACGGGGGGAAGGGCGCTAGGCTCGGCACTAGGCGCGGTAACAACGGAACCGGTACGAACGAGAGGTAGGATCAGGCTCGGGAGATACGAACGGAGAACGGAGGAACGGGATCCCACAGGATCCTAACCTAACTGATACCATGTCAGAATGAGGAATGGATGATGCATTGATGTTGGTTGGGGTACATATAGCTAACCCTAAGTTTTGTACCCCCTAAGACAAACCTCACTATAGGCTACAACATTTGACAGGATCATCATGTGACACTGCGAACCTAACTGCCACCCACCTTAGGGGATTCAACCCTCATCTCTCTTTCTCCCTCTGAAAGGTCCAGCCCCCCTCTCTCCTCGCCCTCTCACTCCACTTACCCTGAGGGATTCAGGCCCCCACCACTAACCCTCACTCGACTCATCATAGTGATCAGCCCCCCTCTCTCCTCGCCCTCTCACCCCACTTACCCTGGGGGATTCAGGTCCCCACCATTGACCCTTAATCAACTCACCCTAGGGTTTCAACCCCCTAACCCCTTTCACAGGCAGGGGGGTTCAGCCTAACCCAGAGCCATGCCAGCCAATCCCGAGGTTGGTTCAGCGGCGGCAGAAGTTGTGGTGGTTTGCTGCTTGCGGCCCAAACCATGGCGCAGCGCGAGTTTTGGCGCAAGCGGGTGTTGGGTTCGCTGAGTTTCGGAATCCGGAGCGACTCCGCTGCTTACGAAACCTTAAGCGAAATCCCATGCGGTTTCGCTGTGAATATGAATCCCCACTATGCAACGACAGTGTTGTTTGGCGAAAACACAAGCGTCGCCACAGATGTCGAAAACGACCGTTGGCGCGGGCTTGCGGAAACCTTCCCCCAAACTTCACTTACACATCACTGGAGGTTTGTGAATACCTCACCGGAGGTTCGGAAGTCTAAACCAACGCCTACGCTGCAAGTGGCGCAATTTCGGGATTTTTTGTGGGACGTAGCTTGTGTCGACAATAGCATATTTGGTGATGACTCTCAGTCTGGAATATACAGCTCATCTATTCACAGGACAACGCATGTAAAGCATACAATAATCAGCAACATCAAAATGTTATGGGGGAGAGAAAGAGTGCCCAGCCAGCTGTGTTATTTCCCACTAGTATAGCAGAGCTATATTATATTGAAACTTAAAGACCATCTACTGAGGACTTAAAAGACTACTACCGGTACTTGCTAATTTTAGTAGTGTTGCAATCATTCCGATTGCTATCCCTATGGATGGATCATGGAGATCAATGTTACATAATGCTGCAGTGCGCAACCTTATGCACCTAGTGACTTGACAATATAGGGCCAACAGCATCAGGCAAAACACCATCCGGCTCCTTCACTCACACTCGCTCACACTTCCAATTTCCAAATCATGCAAGCAAGGACTGGTGCGAAGGCGGAGGTATCTGCCCTCCGCCTACGGCTTACTCGCAACAGCTAGAAGGTACCAAAATGGGGTCAGTGGTGGGTTCGGACAAGCGGCAAGAAACACTACAGGCGGTCAGCAGCGGGCACCAGAGAAGGTGAGCAGGAGCAGCAGAGGCGTTGAGCAGAGAGCAGGAGCAGCAGAGGTGGTGAGCAGAGAGCAGGAGCAGCAGAGGCAATGAGCAGAGGCGGTGGGAAGCAGTGGTCAGTAGGGGCGGTAGCGCAGGTCACCCCTGGAGGCACCCCTGTCAGCAGGCAAGGTTCCCGGTGGGCCTGCCAGGTCACCGTATGCTGCACTGTTGTACTGCTGCAGAGGAAATCACATGCCGCCATGCCATCATGCCAACATGTCATCGAGTCATTATGCCATGCCGGGGAGGACGCAGAAGGAGAAGAAGATCAGGCACACGGCAGCATCACACAAGAAAGCCGCCTTGCTTGGAACCACAAACAAGGCTCGCCATCAGATCAACCAGACACTCACCCAACACGACAAACAGCGTGGCAACAGCAAAGCAACCCTCAAGGGAGGCACTCACCGCGGCTTGCCCATACTCGGCAGCAGGAGCAGGCGCCTGCCCATACGCCTGCTGTGCTGCTGCCATGTAATACCCCTGCGCTGCTGCCGCCGCTGCTGCTGCTCCCCCAGGGCTCCTGGGCCCTGAGGAGGCCCCCAGAGAGGGGTCGGAGGGGGCAGGCGCGTACGCGGCGGACAGGTATGCGGCGGAGGAGGGGGCTGGCGGGGGAGCGCCTTCCTGTGGCGTTGCCCTCTCCACTGCCACCTGCCGTTGCACAGAGGAGCGGTGGGGGGGTGAGATGGGTGGAGGGGTGAGAGGGAGAGGTTGGAGAGATGAGACAGAGGCAGGGAGGGAGACAGTGGGAGGAACATACAGGAATGGGCGTGACAGCAGACGCGAATGAGCATGTTTGGCAAATGAGCAGACGGGCACAAGTGAAAGCCAGAAGGAAGGGAAGGGAACGGAGGAAGAGAAAAGCGGTGGGGGAAAGGGGTGAGGGGTGGGAGGGGGGGGAGAGAGGGAGAGAGGGGACAGAAAAGGCACTGACAGTGCGGCCGCAGATCTCGTGCTGCCTCTTGGCAACGAAGGCTGCCACCTCCTCCTCTAGGAACGTCACGAAGCAGAACCCCCTGTGCCCTCCCTTGGCCGAGTCCTGCCATGCACCATGCACCATGCATCATGCACCATGCGCCATGCCCCATGCGCCATGCCCCATGCACCATGCACCACGCCACACAGCACCGACCATGCACCATGCCACATAGCACCCCCAAGTGACACGAAAATGAGGCCAGTGAATCAGCAGCCTTGGTGTGAACCACATGCATGGCACAAGGCGGGCTCACCCAGCACTTGTTGTGAGCCACACGCACGCTCATTATCACAACATTCACGCACACTGTAGCGCAGGCAGGCACTACCTTGGGCAGGTAAACGTCCTCCACGGGTCCAAACCGCCCGAAGTACTCGCGAATGTCCCCCACAGTGGCGTCATGCGGCAGCTTCCCCACAAATATCTTCGTCGGATGCACCGCCCTCCCCCCGCCTCCTCCCCCATACCCCTGTCCACCCGCCCCCCCATGCCCCTGCGGAGCAGCAGGAGGGGGAGGCGCGCCATAGGTGGGGTCCCTGGGCGCGCCGTAGAGCATGGCGGGGGGGTAGGCGGGGTAGGCAGAGGCGAAGGCGGCCATGGGGGGCATGAAGTCGAAGGGCGACATGGGCAGCGCCATGGCCCCCGGGGGGTACGCGCGGAAGGGACGCGCTGGGGCTCCGCGGTAGCCCCCTCCACCGCCCCTTGGCCCTTCGTCCTGCAAGAAGAAGACAGGCGAGGGCAGGGGAGGGCAAGGGGGGACAGGAGGGGGCAGGGGAGGGCAGGGGGGGACAGGAAAGGACAGGGGAGAAGAGACCAAACAGCATAATAAGATGCTCGCTACACACAAACAGCTCCGAAGAAAGCTGCAAAGTGATCTCGCTGGGCCAGCAAAGAGGCATGGGCGGGGTTGGTGAGTGAGTAACAGGGCGATGTGTGTGTCTCTACCAAGAAAGGTACCTTAGGCGTGGCTCTGTCGATGGCGAGTGTGGCTCCATCCAGCTCCCGTGGCTCTTCCAGCACCTTGTCCACCGACGCTGCACCACATGGCAGGCAAGCGCTCGCAGTGTGAGCGAGATGAAACAAAAAAAACAGCAATGAGAAACAGCAGAGCAGAATGGCAGAGAGATGTCAATGCAGCTGCTGCACTCATCATCAGGCATTCGTGTGCATTAGTGTGATCATGGCAGACCAACAGTACCTGCGTCGTCAAAAGTCACAAAGCCTATGTTGCGATGCGGGTTGGACCCATGGCCCTGAGGAGGGGGGGTGAGCACCGAGCACAGAGCACCGACAACAGGGCATGAGGCTGGGAGCATGGGGCATGGAGCACGGAGCAGCAATGTGGACCAGTCCAATGCAGGCCCGCAATGACGAGGTGAGAATGGGGCCACAGCGAGACAGCAGCGGGCCGGGCCGTACCTTGGGCATGTAGCAGTCGGTGACATTGCCAAACGCTCCGAAGTACCTGCAGCAGTGGAGCAGCAAAGCAGAGAAGCAGGGCATCGCAGCAGGCGGTGGGGGCGCACGTGTTGAAGAACCAACAATAGATTCAGCGCTGCAGAAGTGAGAGAAAGGTGACCACTGGCTCAATGGCACGCAGCAGCACAGCACGTTACCTCTTGAATCTGTCCTCTGTGACGGTGGTGGGCACACACGCTGAAGCACCAACAACTGATTCAGCACATTACCTCTTGAATCTGTCTTCCGTGACAGTGGTGGGCACGCGCGCGACGAAAATGCGTGTGGACGACACCTTGGGGCCCTTGGACATCTCCTCCTGCCCGCACACACCCCACACACGCATCAGTGCCGTTTCCTTCAAAGACGATGCGGAAGTGCGTGGCAATGGCGACGGGAGGTGAGATGATGGGTTGCTAGCTTGGCTGGGTTGGTTGGGTGATTACGGACGAACCTTGGGCGTGGCTGTCTTGACTTCCAGCTGCCGGCCTCCCAGCGTGTGCTTCATCTGCGCCACGCTCTGATGCACACACATCCCACCGCAACAGCAAGAGCATTCGCCATGCCGCGAATTTCAGGATTCGGATAATAAAGTTACGACAGAAAGGAGTGCAATGTTCGGATAGATATCGACCAGCGACAAGCGGTCTGGTCTATCCGAACGTGCTCCACGGAAGCCGACAATGAAACCGCCGGGCATCGTGTGGAATGCTGCTCACCTGCGCGTCTGCGAGGAGGCTGAACGTGACATATCCGAACCCTCGAGACCGCCCGGTGCTCCGATCCTGCACCACCGCAAAGCCGATTATCAAAACACCAACTTCTGAAAAAAACCCTGAATGACAATGCGGTTGCGGAATGCTACCTTGAGCACGATGACGTCATCGAGCGCGCCGAACTTCTCCATGTATTCGCGGAGGCCCTCCGTGTCCATGCTGTACGGTATGCCCAGCACCTGCACGCACGCACCGCGCGTCAGAAGTAGATCCACCACGGATCAGGAAAGCAGAGCGCTCAGAAAGGCAGCGCAAGAGAAATGCACGGAGAAAAAGAACGCAGACTGATCGCGAATGCTGCAGAGCCATTTCTGGTGAGACTCACAACGAGCTTTCTTGACACGGTGTCTTGCGAAGCCATCTTTAACGTCCGCTCGCTTAACGAGCCACGAAATGGAACCTCTTTAACGAAGAGGTTCAGCTGAGACCTCGCGATCTGGCGACTTCCTGAACTCAGCTACGCTCGTCTCGCCTCGTCTCACTCCGCTTCCTCTTCTCAGCTCAGCTTGGCTCAGCTTCGCTCAGCTTAGCTTCTCCGCTCTGCTGCCTTCAGCCTCCGCTCGCCTCTGCTCGCTTCTTAACTCCTCTTATCTCGCGTCCGCTGTCTCTGTCGCACACCTCTCCGCTCGCCTCACGCGACTCCTCAACACTCTCGCCTTGCCTGCAAGAAAGGAATCCCATGGCGGCAGTCAAGTCACCTGACAACACAACAGCTCAACTGGCGATAAAATGCTCACAAGCGACACGTCATCATACTTTTCAGCGGAGAGAACGGAAAACGCGGAAGCCTCACAACTCAAGTAGATCGGCTCAGCCTCGCGGGATCGCTTCGCTCAGAAACGCTCTGCTCTCAGAGGTAGCAGTCGAAATCACGCGGTAACGGATCGGCTCGACGTCGCCTCGTGCAGCGTAAAGTCGCCGTGAAAGGCGTAGATCAAGGGAAGATCGGAACCAGGTAGAGACAGCAGCTACTCAACAAAATGGTTTTGTGAGCTGGATGATGTCGGGATTGCCAAGAAGAGAGGGGAGCGATGGCGTAGGAGTGAACAACCTGAATTGCCAAGGTAATCTCTACAGCCGGAAGAGGTGTATTTCTGACTGAAACAACTTCATTTCCATTTATATTCAACAATCACCAGTTTGTGGAAAAAAAAAAAAAACAAGAGGCGACTAAATCGTCTTAGGGTTGCGAAGCAACAGTTTGTAACATGTTTTTTTATTTTTTAATGAATTACACTTCCATTTATAGAAACACATGACATATAATATATGATTATATAACTGAATCGCTGTGGTCGTTTAGAGTACAGATTTGGTTGTTTCACAATGTATAAAATATGTGCTTCTTGAGAACTTATTTGTGTTTGGTTATTCTTGTTATGTTCATATTATTTGATTTTAAAATCAAAATGTTTTTATACTTTAACGTCAGAAGGCGTTTATACTTTGACGTCAGAAGGCGTTTGGATTGTTTGCGTGACGATATCGACAAACAAGTGTATTTTACGTCTGCAATTTCGCGCAAAAGTCTCCTTCCGTGGTAGTTGACAACGGGAATCGAACCGGAAACTTTCGAATAGTTTTTCAACTAATACTGTCTGCGCTAAAGCCTCCGATATTCTATAGCGTCGTGAAAAAAACTGTAAGAACTGTGCGTGTTATTGTCAGGTTTCGAAATGTTTTGTCTGCAGGAACTGAACTGGAGACTTTTCGATAGCACATCGAAGTTCAACTAATTGCGCCAACACTGTTATGTTAAAGCCAGCAGCTAAAATAGTGACCCCCCCCTTCTAGTTGGGTCCACTTGAAAGTTGAAGTACTGTTGTGTATTTTTTTTTCCAGCCCCATATGATACTGATCGAGTCTCCAAATTTCTCGAACAAAAATCATCGCAAGCATGTCCAAATACGTCGCTTGAAAGGCAACGACGTGCGAATCGCAATCACATTCAGAGCCAAATTTACATCGTGAAGCATGTCCAACTCGTGCAAAGCAAGTCCAACCCACGCAAAGCAAGCCCAACTCACGCAAAGCAAGCCCAACTCACACAAAGCTAAGGCCTTAGACATAGGCCTGCTAGGGCGGCAATAACAACATGTGAACCATCGCTGCGTATAACAGAGAATAGACAAATAGAGCAATAGAAAAGAGGACGCGAGAGGAGAGATGCGTGAGAAAAATCCACGGAATGCTAGGGGAGATAGCAAGTACGAAAGGGAGGGGAGAGAATGAGGGCGACGGAAAGGAGGGGAGAGAGCGAGGGCGACGGAAAGGGATGAGAGAGAGCGAGGGCGACGGAAAGGGAGGGGAGAGAGCGAGGGCGACGGAAAGGGAGGGGAGAGAGCAAGGGTCAACGGAAAGGGAGGGGAGAGAACGAGGGCGACGGAAAGGGAGGGGAGAGAGCGAGGGCGGCGGAAAGGGAGGGGAGAATGAGGGCAGCGGAAAGGGAGGGGAGAGAACGAGGGCGACGGAAAGGGATGAGAGAGAGCGAGGGCGACGGAAAGGGAGGGGAGAGAACGAGGGCGACGGAAAGGGAGGGGAGAGAGCGAGGGCGACGGAAAGGGAGGGGAGAGAGCAAGGGCAACTGAAAGGGAGGGGAGAGAGCGAGGGCGACAGAAAGGGATGAGAGAGAGCGAGGGCGACGGAAAGGGAGGGGAGAGAGCGAGGGCGGCGGAAAGGGAGGGGAGAGAACGAGGGCGGCGGAAAGGGAGGGGAGAGAACGAGGGCGACGGAAAGGGAGGGGAGAGAGCGAGGGCGACGGAAAGGGAGGGGAGAGAGCAAGGGCAACTGAAAGGGAGGGGAGAGAGCGAGGGCGACAGAAAGGGATGAGAGAGAGCGAGGGCGACGGAAAGGGAGGGGAGAGAGCGAGGGCGGCGGAAAGGGAGGGGAGAGAACGAGGGCGACGGAAAGGCAGGGGAGAGAGTGAGGGCGGCGGAAAGGGATGGGAGAGAGCGAGGCCACGGGATCGAGGACCTGAAGAGGGATCGACGGGAGGGGAGGGAAGAGAAGAGGAACGACGAGAGGGGAGGTAATAAATTACGAAAGGCGGGACGGAGGGTGACGGGAGTGTGGTGGGAACGCGATCGCGATGAGACGCGAGGGCGGCGGGAGGAGAGAGAAGAAGGGCGACAGGGGAGGAAGGGCGACGGGAGACAGGAAGGGCGGCGAGAGAGAGGAAGGGCGACGGGATAGCGAACTGGCGACAGGAGTGAGGAAGGGCAACAAGAGAGGAATGGCGACGGGATGTGAGAGGAGATCGCGAGGGTGATGGCGACGGTAGGGGCGAGGGTGGGCGATTTGAGGCGCGCGTGACGGCGACGAAGTGGGTGATAGGAGGGGGAGGAAGGGCGACGGAAAGGCGATTCAATATGAGCGCGAGAGCAACGCGATGGTTACTGTGAGAAGAAGAGATGTAGAGCGACGGGAGCCTGATTTACCGAGAACGCGAGGGCTACGAGGTGAAGGGTCGGGTTTCACTTGCGAGCGACGAGAAAAAATATTGACTACATTACGCACGCGAGCGAAGTCGGATCTTACGTGCCTAGGCCAGAAAAATCTACGCTTTCTCGGCTTTACTACTAATGCTACGCAAAGCACTAGTGACTTCGGGACTCGAAATCAGCTAGTCATTCACCCAGTCCCAACTTGATTTGGAAGTTGGTCCTGGCGATGGAAACCATCGCTGGGCAACGGTCGTATGGGTGCAGCGTATAAAAATGCGACGATTGACATGGGGCCTGGAAAATCGTTTTGGCGGGAGGAGTAATTTTCAGATTTGTTTGAGCCAATCAGATGAGTTCAACCTGCCTACACGGTTTGTTTGGAACAGTGTTGTGTCAACCCAACTCATCGCAGCGATTTCAAGCTGGGACGTCCTTCACTATTGTATATTTCGGTTTTAAGCAATTCGAAGTTCTTTCTAGGTCGATTAGCTTTGCGACGAATCTGACACCTTTTTTTGGTTTGTTATTCCCTTTTCTTCTCCCTCGCTGGCTGAGCTTCGCTCATGTTTGACTCTACCTACCAGAACGAGTTCCTATCCTACTAAGGTGAGAGCTACCTGTTAGAATCTAGCAGCAGGAATGAATGAACTAACAGGATGCAGGAGTACAAGTAGTAAACCCTAACTAGGTTGTACCCCATATGGGCTACCCCACTACAGCCTAGACAATATGCAGCACATATAGTTTGACACACCCCCATAGGCAAAGTGGGGGAGAACAAGGGGTCACACGACCAGTCAAGAGAAGCAAAACAAGCTCAGGGTGGATCACAACGTCACCACGCATTCTGAGCACAAGCAAAGGGCCACTGGGCCAGTTCTCTTGCAACGATATATATGCAGCAATAACAGTACAATGATGGCTACCTAGCAAGAGCCAGCATGCATATATATATATATATGTACAGATCACAGTACAAGCAGAGACTACAGCAAGTGTGGAAACGTAGGCACAAGGCCTAACAGAGTACAAAAGCGCTGATGATCACCAGACGGAAGTGCCTTGGTGAATATGTCAGCAGTGTTGGCCCGAGTGGCCACATGGCGAAGACGAAGCTGGCCTCGCTGCTGCAACTCTCGAGCCAGGAAGTACCGCAGAGCAATGTGCTTCGTTCTGTGCTCCAGTCTGTGCTCCTCACACAAGGCAATGGCGGCCTTGTTGTCAACGTACAGCACTGGAGGAGAACGAGGCTGCTCTCCCAAGTCAGTCAGCAGGTAGGTGAGCCAGCGTAACTCCTGTGCAGCCATGGCGGTGGCGTAGATCTCAGCCTCACAACTGGAGCCGAGAACTGAAGTCGAGCGTGTAGAACGCCACGAAACTGAACCAGAGCCAAGGCTGAAGGTGTAACCCTGTGACGACCGCTGAGTAGCCAGGTCGTCAACCCAAGAAGCGTCTGAGTGCCCAGTGAGGACAACTGGGCTCGTCCCTCCAAGCACTAGCCCCATGCCTGATGTGCTGCACAAGTAACGCAGTACCCTCTTAGCAGCAGCCATGTGCTCAGGTCGGTGCCGACCAGGAGCCACGTAGCGAGCCAGGAGACCAAGAGGGTACGCGAGGTCAGGTCGAGTGCAAGTCATCAGGTACATGAGGCAGCCGACTAGCTCTGGGTAAGGACCACTCGGCTCTACGGACTCGTCCGAAGGTGGAGCTGAGAGCGTGTGACCTGTAGCCAGAGGAGTGGCCTGTGCTGAAGACCAGGTGAAGCCGAAACGCTGAAGGACCTGCTGCACCATGTGTGACTGAGTCAAGGTGATGGTGCGACGTGCTCTGTCTCGGGTGATCTGCAAGCCAAGGTAGCTGCGCAGCTCACCCAAGTCTGTGCACGTGTGTCTCTTCTGCAGCTCCGACTTCACGTGGG